TTGTATGGAAATTTTGATAGTCCATGGCTTAGGGAAACCTTTAATGGATTATCGCTTAGTTTTTGACTTCATATGCACTTACCACACAAATTGAGGACTTTGATAGTTCATAGCTTAGGAAGGATATTTCATGTTATATCCTAATTTAGATAGATGAATTATACCAACCTTTGATGGATTATACTTAATTCTTGAATGTATGAACTTCTTGAAGATATTGTAGTTGTCTTGCATTTCTACATATCATGGTTACATGTATATTTTGTTCCCCAAGTTAATTGCAATTAGGCATGTTTATATGGCTTGTGGTGAAGTCAATTCCCTAGCGTTTCCCACACTCTCCTTACTTGAAATTCAAATTATTTATTTGTGGTTAATTTCAGTTTATGTATGTGACAAACAAACTAATCCAAAAACTATATTTCATAAATTAAACCATAAATTAATCTTACAAGCTTGATTGCCATAAGTTAGCATTCCTAGTGGTTCGACTTACCCGTCCAATAGTCCTGTTTTACAATGATTTGTGCTATTATAAAGGGTTAATTATTATTGATAGTCGACGAGACCCGATCAAAAATTCCAAGGGTAATTAAGTGCAAGCCGTTAATATAACCATATTTTAGAATTTAATGACTTGCCTGAAACATAAATTGTAAATTAGCATATAAGAAGGCTTGTTGTTTATGCATGTCATCAATTATAGTCATAAAACATCAATTTTCTTGCAGTGTTTGCTAGCTTATTGATTGCCTATTTGACTTCAATGGTTTCTTTGACCATTTTCTTTAACTTTTCATCGTCCTTTGCAGCCTCTTGCACCTGTTCATCATGAAATTTATTGTCTTCGTTATCTGAAATATCAGAGTCGAATAAAGACATGACATAAGGACCTTTATCAAGAAAAGCGACGTAAGAAAAATCATTAGCATCATTTAGAGGAGAATCACTATCACTTAAAGTAGAATTTTCAGACATAGAAACTTTCATTACTTTTCCTTTATTCCTATCATTTTATTCTTTCCTAGGACTAGGACAAACATTTGATGCGTGACCTTTGCCACCACAATTTTAGCAAATAAATTCTCTTTCTTTTGATTCTTCTACTTTCTTTTCATTAAACCTAAACTTTGACGTTTTGTCAAAGTTTTTAGAATTAGCCATGTTGCTATTCCTACTGCTATATTGCCTTTGCAAATTTTGAATGTATTGACTTGATAAGAATGCAAGATCATCATCAGAGTTGTCATCCACAGAATTCTTAACCTGTGTAGATTTCAAAGCAAGATTTTTCTCCTTCTGACTTAAATCAAAATTCTGCATCTCAAAAGTTTTTAATGAACCTACCATTTCATCAACTTGACAAGTAGTCAAATCCTAATGTTCAGAGATGGTTTCAACCCTAATATGAAATCTTTAAGGTAAAGACCTAAAGATTTTCTCACAGTTTTTTTTATCACTAATTTTTTTCCCCAAGTGACGCAGTTAAGAAATTATTTCAAGAAGATTAGAAAAAAAATCAGAAAAGAATTCATCTTCTTTCATCAGAATGTTGCCAAATTTATGAGAGAGCAATTGAATTTTGGACAACTTCACTTTTGAAGTTCCTTCATGAGTAACCTGTAAAATATCCCAAGCTTCTCTAGCAGTTTTACAATCAGAAATTCTAGCATATTCAGATGGAACAACATAATCAATAATTGAATATAAAATTTTGCCATTAGCATCATTATGCTAAGTTTCAATAGTAGTAAAAGCAAAAGTCTCTTTTAACTCTTTGACTATTTTACCATCCACAGTTGTATCTACTATAGGAGGTGTATAGCCAGTTTCAACTATTGCCTAAGTTTTATCACCAAAATTTTGTAAATAAGCTCTCATCTTTGATTTTCAAAAATTGTAATTATCTCCTTCAAATAAAGAACCACGTTGATTAGAACTACAATCTTTCAACACATAAGATATGATGTTGAAAACAATTTTTGAAAAACACAACAAAACTAAACTTTCCAACAAGGATCAATTCAATGTATAGATATTGGCTCTGATACCAAATTGTGAGTCGTACATAGCGAAAAACACTTAGAAAGTTTTTGTTTGTTTTGTAAAACAGATCTGTGTCATTATCAACTTTACTTATTTTATAATTCAGCAATTTAACAGTTAATCACATGCAGATAAAATAAAGCAAAGTATAAAGTTAGCGATGATACCGGGATTTTAGCGAGGAAACCCTAGTTGATAAAATACGTCAATTGTTATGGGAAAACACTATGATTGAAATAAGGTATACTGAAATTTGACTCTAGCTCACACCCTATCGTTCTACGAAACACCAATAGCTAACAATCATCTGGCTTTGCGACTCCCCTTCCAATAGCAACTTGACCTGAGGTTTATGTTTGATATTTGTAGAAGAGTAGCAAGTAGATTAAACAACACTCCTCGAATACTCCAACCCTTTCAAAGTGTGATTGCTTTTACTTTTCTTCTTCAATCGTCTAAATGATGTAAAAGAAAATCTGTTTTGTCTGATCGTTGTAGATGCAACTATATGATCACGATCAGGATTTTGAACTCCACAACTCTAACCTAACTAGGTGAATATGTGTATGTTCTAGGAAGACAACAGAAAAATCAACTTCTTAAGGCTTTGTATGATATATGAATAATGATTAAAAGTCGTAAATAAACCAGTGTATATGACATGGTTTATATAGAGGTTTGTAAAGTCCTATTCTTTCTGAAAATAAAGAAAATTTTGTGCGTAGGACTTGGAAGGAAAGTTGGATCAAAAAGGTATCAGACAAAACAAGGAAACTAGAATCCTTTTGCAATAAGGACACGTGGAACCGGTTCCCAATCTTGGTACTGGTTCCCACTTGACAGAGAGTTGTTTCTCGAGTATTAGCTTCTGGAACCGGTTCCCAAATCTTGGTACTGATTCTCACTTGACAGAATTCAATATGAACTTGGAAATTCTGTATTTTTGGAACTCTGAAAATATACCATGTATATCAATGTGTCCTAAGTGGGAAACGATGTCAAATTCGTTGTTATTTCCTTTTTGATGATCAACAGTACTTTCCTCTTCTGTTCAACCTCTGAATTCCGCAGTTGATGTTAAGCTTGATATGGTAAGTAAAAGTACAACTTGACTAGGACTTGTTTTGTTACCGAAATATACCAATTTACAAAAATATCTCTCACATTTCCAACTCCCATTCTCTCTCCTGTCTCTTTCACTCTCTTTTCTCTCTATCAGCCGTGAGAGTAAGTCAATCTTTAAATTTCAAATTAAATCATTTTCTTTTGAACCCCTCTACATTATTCTTATGGAATCTATGCAATCAAGTTAAATTTCGAATTGAATGATAGCACGTGATTGAATTCATCGTTTACAAATAGATTTTAGCAAAAATGTAACAGAAACGTCTGGATTCTCCTTTAAACAAAAAGAGAGAAGGTGATTTAGAGAGGAGTACTGATACTGATTTTATTCCAAGCAATTCAAACACAGTTACTATAATAGAGAAATTGAAAGTGGATAAGGGAGCTATCATAATCACTTCAAACACAACTCCCCAAATTTGCACCAAATAGGCAATTGTCCATCTGGTACAAGTCCTATTTCCCAAACGGGAGGTCGGATGTACGAATTTATGTAGAGGCACGAGTGTGTTTGTTTAACCCTTTCTAAAAAATCCAAAAAAAAAAAAGAAAAAGAGAAAAAGAGGCACTTAATGACAAAAATCTCGGCACCATTACTTTAACTAATCAACATTAAAATCATTTTCCAAATTTAAATGAAGATTTACTAGTTCCATTCAATGAAATTGGAAGCCCAGAGACAAAAAGAGACAACCAAGGAGGGGAAGAGTGGGTTTCTCATTAAACTGGCAGCATTAATGGCTATGAAAGGATTGGATTTAAAAGATTGGTGGACCTGCCCAGAAACTTTAGTTATCCAAGTAGCCATGAAAAACTTCTATTAAAATGTACACATCCTGGCATTTTCAAAGTGTAAGATGAAGGCCTAAAAGTCTTTCTAAGAGTACTAATGTGGAAGTTATTTAAAAAACAAGTAAATTAAATGGGTGGTGTCATTTGGTTGATTCAATCTTTTATCTCCTTCCAAATTTGATTATGTATATTGCAGAAGGCTCTGTTGATTTTAGAATTTTCTTTTCTATATATATATATTTTTTATCCGGTTAAGTGATTGATTGTAGATTTTCGTCCAAAGGAAAAGAAAACTACAACTGACCAGGTAGCTGGATCGATCAAGGAGGTTTATCCATAGCAAACTTGTATGGTCAAGAAAAAAGAAAAAGGCATAAGCGGAGCGGTAGGTAGAAGTTATAACTTAGCCTTAAGAAAAACATCCATCCACACGTCGTCAAGGTTTAAGAAGTTAGGCTTATGCATTTAAAAGTGGTACACTTATCAACTAGGAATATATATATATATATATATATATAGCCATTCATGATGACGCACATGCTATTAAACTAGAGCAAATTTAGCTTGGAATGAATATCGAGAGACTGACATACCTTTAGAAGACAATAGACGAAAATGAAAATATAATTTAACTTGGTACACAATGAGTGAAAATATATTAGAAAGACATGTCAACAAGAGAGTTCTAAATATCTATAGGTTATGCATTTACCTTTCCCTTCTTTTTACAGTTACTCAGTGTTGCTCCTGCAAAAAACACATGCAAGGAGAATACAGGATGCATAGAAATAGGAAAGACTACGAATCATCAGCTTGTTCATCAACTTCTGAAAGTAATATGATGCCGGCCTTGAGGTCCACAAAATAAGAGGAAGAGTAATGATACTGTCTCCCAAGAGGGAGTAGCTGAAGAAGGCTCTCCTTTGAATGTGTTCAATGCATTCAAAGGGGGAGGCTTGTTCAGCTCTCCCTCTCAGTACTCTCTTTACGCGGAGTATTATTGTTTTTTCGTGAGCCTTTGAGAGAGTATTATTAGTCTAGGAAGAATTATTTGCTTTCTCACATCCATCAACTTCCTTAACTGAAAATAGGCTCTCCTTATAGAGAACAATAACAAAGCAAGATCGATATCCACGAAGTCCAAGGCTTTTAATTTCTTGGGTATTGTGGTCGTACATTACTAACTGAGAATCGCTATCTTCTAAAAATAGCTCGCCGTTCTTCCAAATTCCAAGTGGCCTCTGAATTTCTGGAAGGGGCCCTATATTTAATTGTTTGGTCCAGAATCCCTCTTCCTTCATTACCCATACGTGGAAGTATTTCTCAACTTCTTGTGCATCGAAATATATCATAGCAATGGAGTCATTGTACATGGTAAGATCCCCGCATAGATCTTTTTGAACACCTGTTGGTGCCGGTATATCTTCTTTGAAAATCTCTTTACTCATATCAAATGAAAGGAGAGTATATCTATGAAAATCAATACTGGTCAACCAATAATAAAATCCATTCAAATATGTGTTACACAGAGAATTATTTATAGAACTATTTGTCATCATCTCGAATTCAAAGAGCCTCCAAGAATCAGTACGTAAGTTGTACACGGAAACAACTCTAGGGATGTATGGAATGTCTTCTTCCTCATCATAGTAGTATCGAATCCAAATCAATTTGTAATCATTTGTTATAGGATCCAATCCACAACCAAACATATGCAAAAAATCCATAATATGGGTTGGTAAGTTAGGGTTAGGTATAGCGAGGGACCTCCATTCTTTTGTAGCTGGGTTCCACAGAACTACAATATATCGATCCTCCCAATGAGTAAATAGGCAAAATATGCCACTAATTGGTCCAATAATGGCATCCGGAAGATCCGGCAACTGAAATTCATCAATATCATTATGTGCAAAAGGCATTTTGGCAAGTGTTTCGTCAGGGAACACAGCAAAAACATATTTTTGTGTGCTATAGTTGTAATGGTGAACAAGGAGGCATGATTTGTTGTTGGGGTGATGCAGGTGCTTGCTAACAAAAGTAGAGGTTCTGATGAGACCAAACCAGTATTTGCAAACACACCTAAATCGGATTAATGATTTTATTGGCAACCTTGAGACAATCTCAATTATCAGATCTTCTGGTATATGCTGATCACCACTACTGCTTGCCATTTCTTTGTCTTTTTTGAATCTGATGTTGAATCATTTTTTATCCCCAACACTAAAACCAAATCTGCATAAAAATTCTTAATCTTAATTTTTAATGAAATGGAAGATTCATTTTGTTTAATGTCAAAACCTAATGGTAAGAAATATTACTCATTATTTTCCTTATCATCAAATTAAAAATATAAGAAAAGGTGAGAGAAAAATAGAAGGAAATACTGACATGATTTTTCTTTTCAAACTCTAAGGCATGTTCCCTACAAGGACAATGTAAACAAATGTGTTATTTCCAAAATACCAAAATGTAAAAACTATTTCTTTTAATGCATCATGAATAAAATTTATAACTTCTTGGCCAAAAACAGTAAATTCTGATGCACGTGTTATTATTATTATTATTATTTTTTTCTAGAAGTTCTGATGCACATGTTATTACTTGAAAATTACAAATTACAAATGGTGATGAAGCACCAAAAGTTATCGATTAGTAGCAAATGAATAAACAAACCGAAAAAGACGGGAGTTGAAGAACGCACTTCTACCATGTCAAAGTCTTATAAATTTCCTCAAACTGCAGTTACCAAAGTTCTAGCTCAAGTTGTATTTCTATCCTCTTTGATAGGTTGTTGAGTGTTCATGTTCCTCTTGAGAAGAGTTGTGTCTGCCTTCTTGTTTACAACCCAAATAAATAAATAAATTTGAACTGTTGAAACTATACTGTCTGCAATATATATATAGATGGATCTCTATAAGTAAAACTCAAACTGGGCATACAATGATTTTTTTTTTTTTTTCAAAAAAAATAAAAGAAAAAGAAAAAATAAAAAAGATAATGACACTAATGGTATGGATCATGTTAGAGAATTTTACAAACAGTCTCTAATCGCGTTTTGCTTTCTTTTTTTTTTTTCCCCTCAATATCTCTTATCTCGGAGTCACTCGGCAAAGTTTGCAAATTTTTTTTGGTGATTGGGTCCCAGCAGAATTCGAAATCTGAAGCTCTAAAATATAGGTGATAGACTTGTGCCCTTGAACTTTGATCCATACCATGATTCTTTTTACAAAGTTTGATAGCATTTAATTAAAAAAAGTTTGGAATGAAGTTATAAGAAATTATTTTAAAAAATTAAATAGAGGAGATGATATGACATATAATAAAAAAAAAAATTAAAAAAAAAAAAATTAGTGGTGAAAGGGAATTTGTGATTGTAACTATGATTCTGATGAGATTTCAGTATATTCAGTATTTGCAAGTGAAAGAAAGTTTAGAGTCACCACCATATGACTCTCTAAAGAAATCAGCATAAGTGAACAATCGGCAAGAAACTTTACTTGCTACAAAAGGAACACAACCGGATTGAGAAAATTTTCATTTAGCTATACATGTAAAATGATTGATCTAGGGACGTCAGAACAACCTTCTTGTTCTTAAAATGAATGAAAAATATAAGCATAGTTCTATTTCAATCATAAAATATAAAAAATAAATAAAAACTAAATAAACTAAAATATTATGCGTTTTTTTTTTTCGAAAATTAAATGTTATGACAAACATCAGAAAACACAAACACAATGAACAAAGAAGAAATCAAAAGAATCATCAGAAAACTCAAGAACAAATCACACAAAATACAAATTACCAAAGAGAAAAATCACACAAAATTAGAAAGATTTAAGAATGGTTGATTACCGGTTTTCACCCCAAACCCTCTTTCACTTTATTTCTAGTGTTCTTTTTTGATAAATAACAAACTCTAAACGCTAAATTTGTTGGGATTTGAAGCATTTATCAAGGTGCTAACTCTTCTTGTATCCTACAAACAAAAACTAAAGGGTTTCTAAACGATTATTATACTTCTTTTCAAATCAGGGAAGGATCTTAAGCCGTTGGGCCCGACCAAATGACCTTTTTTTTCTTTTTTTCTTTTTTTTTGCCGTAATTAAAAAAAAAAGAAAAAAAAAGAAAAAAGAAAAGATGATCATCTGTACTTTGTACATGATGTGGTCAGATGGAGATAATTAGATCTGAGAGTGATTTATGTATTAGAATAGGTGATTGTAAAAAGTTCGAGAAATTTTCAAGAAACACATAAAGGTAGAGAGATACCATGGTTTCTTCCAGAGCACTGTAAAATGAAGATGAAGGAGGAGAAGGAGAGATGGAACAAAAGACGATCGGAGGAGAGATCCTTGAGATTGCGAAGGAAAAAAAGGAAGTGGGAAGAAAAAGAGAATTTGAGGGTGAAAATAAGGGCTGGGAATTGTCGTTTGAAATTGATCACGTCCCCAATCGAGGACCAACTTTTTTACCACGTCATGCACATGTGGTAGAGCAATAATGGATCCGCGATATTTACTGGAGAAAAAATTAATGGATCCTCGATTAAATTTTTTTTTTTCTTTTTTTTCTGGCAGAGAGAAGATATTTATTAATAAATTAAAACATACAATCTAAAAAATTATAATTAGGTGTGGTAATATTTGACACAACAATCTAAACACTATATGAACACGATGCGATATAAGAGATTTTGGGTTTGGGCTAATCCTATTCGTGCCATAATCATGTTGATATAGATTAACCTCTTAACTAAACGTGCCGTGTTCGTATTTGACCATACTAACACATTAACCCGATTAATTCAAGTGTCAAATAAGCGTGTCGTGTTCGTATAAAAAATGATCTATTTAATTAAACGTGTCGTGTTCGTGTCAAAAATAACTTAAACGTGTCTTTTCGTGTCATGTCAAAGTTTTGACCTATTTATTAAACTGGTTATGCGTGTCGTGGCGTGTTAGATGTGTAATAATCGTGTCGTGTCGTATTCGAGCCAAGGATTTTAACACGATTAATAATAATGCCGTGTTCGTGTTGTAAACTTGTTGTCACGAATACAACAAGCCAACACGAATTTTTAACCCTAGAAACAACGTACAGTGCTAAGCCATCACGGCATAGCATCAGAAAAAGGAAAAATACACTTATGGGTGCAAACTCACTCAAGAAGTGAGCAACTGAGTTACTCTCTAGAAACACTTTTTTTAGATTGGTGTATTTTAATACCATATAATATAGTATTATTATTTAAATATTATGTAAAAAAATAATATATATATAATTTTTTAATAAAATATAGTTATATATATCTAATAAAATCAAACTATTTTAAAAATATGTTGTAGTTTCCTTGGCTGGGACCTTATTAAGAGTGTTTCCCCTTCTTATTTTTATGTTTAGCTTCCACTGCATTTGTTTTTGACACCATTGAAGAATTCTTGGATTTCTTTTCAAATGTGCGGTTATCTTCTTCAATCCTCAGCTTGACAATCAGGTCTTCAAACCCCATTTCCTTGCGCTTATGTTTCAAGTAATTTTCGAAATCTTTCCAAATAGGTGACAATTTTTCAATGATTGAAGCCACTTGAAAAGAATCACTTAAAGCCATCTTCTCAGCATGTATCTCATGTAGGATCAGCTGGAACTCCTACACTTGGCTCATAACAATCTTGGAGTCCACCATTTTGAAATCTAGAAATCATTTGACCATAAATTTCTTCAAACCAACAATCCACTATTTTATACTTCTTGTCTAGTGACTCCCAGATCTCTGTAGTAGTATTGATCGGACTATACACATTATATAACGTGTTGTCTAATCCATTGAGGGTGTAGTTCTTGCATAGGAAATTCATTTCTTCCATGCATCAACAACTCCCACTTTTGTAATATCAGTTTCACCCTCTTGTAACACTGGGCAGTCTCACCCTCTTGTAACAATAGGCAGTCTCAGTTAGAAACTTGTTCACATTCAAAGTTGTAAAGTAAAACATCATTTTCTGTTGCCACCTTTTGAATTATGCCCCATTAAAATTTTCTGGCTTCTCCGCATGACTGACGAGAACATCAGGCATAATTGTACTCATACTTGCCATTCGTCTGTTGTATATGAAATATACAGGCCACAAGTCAATTTATAGCAATATAACAATAACAATATTTAAATAATAATATTATAATAAAAACGAGATCCGTCTTAAGTTTGCTCTCCAAAATGATCTATATGTACCATATACTATAGTATTACTATTTAAATATTATTAAAAAAATAATATATATATATAATTATTATTATAAAATAATAATATATATTCTGTAAATAAAATATAATTATATTAGTATAAAAATTGTACTATATAAATAAAGGAACTTGATAATAGGCTGAGTCTAGAATTGGTTCTATCTCCTTAGGACAGATTCGCCCTGCTATGGTACTGACGGACACTACAGTGTCTGTTACTTAAGATACAATGACATTTCTTTCTTCGGTAGCAGCACTGCAAATTGGAGAAATGGGCGAACCAGCTCGGTGAAGTACTTTCTCTCTCTATGAACTAGACTCGAACAGGTACACTAACAATATATGTATATAAATAAGGGGGGGAAAAAAAAAAAAAGAGGAAAGCTCAGAATTAGAGAAGAAGATTTCTGAGTTTGGTGTAATTTATAAATGACCCGGGGTATTTATAGGCATGCAGGTGCCTTTTCAGAGGACCCGAAAAGCTACGGGGCACAATGGTTCAACCTGAATCAACACTAAAGGCACCTATTCAAATAGGATACACTAGTTCACACTAGGTGCAACCCTTGGAAGCACTGGTTCACACCAGGTGTAACCATTTGTAAGCCCAACCCAATTCAAAATAATGAAACTCAGAGTAAACCGAGCTAAAAATAAAATTAAACCAAACATAAGGCTACATTCAAAAATTTCGTTTAATCAAAAATTAATCAGATTTTACAATTTAGCCGAAGCCTAGCTCAGGTTGGGTGTGCGTGTGTGGTAAATGGCTTAGACCTAAGCTTATCTAGGTCCTCCCCCTTTTAAAAACTTGGATGCCTTTTCAAAGGACCCGAAAAGCCACGGAATACAATGGTTCAACCTGAACCAACACCAAAGGCACCTATGCAAATGGGGTACACTAAATCACACCAGGTGCAACCCTTA